CAGGGTAATAATTCAGATTTCTAAGTAAAAGTCTCTTTAAAATGAGAAATACAATCAGCACCGTATCTAAAAGAAACATACAATATAAGAAATAGTCAACCACCGAATCCTCCTTCCATTTTTGTTATGTACAACACCATAAACACACTGCTGAAATCACACATTAAGTGCACTGAAATTCTGTAATATTCTCTTCACCAAATAAGAAACTTGCATAAAATGCATTAGAAAGTAGAAAGTAAAGGCAAATCCATAGCAAATAATGGCTGTACAGTAATTTCATTACATTCCATGATTTGTAATACAATGTTTAAGATGGGGAAAAGATGAAGATGGATTCAAAATACTGTAGTGTTACTGTCTAGTCCTTAAAATACTGAGATATTAGTCCATGTTCTCTCTAACCATCCACCCCTAACTGTGCTTCAGGAATAAGGAGAAACAGAAAGATAAATAAGTCAGGATTTGTGGTCTAAATTGAGGCAAAGAGTGTTACAACAGTATGCACAAACAGACAAAATGTAATTTTCTTATTAGGATTGGTGCACAATAAGTATAGTTTCAATAAAAATTTCAATAAACATCTATGCTGCCAACAATGGAGGCAAATGAAAATTATTTTATAATACTGGTAGGAGATATTAAAACAACTTAGAGATATCAAAACAAACTTGGAGAGCAGTTTGGCAATAACTATTAAAGTAGGAGATGTGCATACTCACAAACCAAAATCTTCACTTTTAGGTTTATATTCTAGGTCAGTTCTACCAGATACAAGACTGTGTTCTGTTTTTATGGTTTTGGTTTTTTTTGAGTGGGACAAACCTAAATGTCTGTAAACACATGACAGAATAATCAAACTGCAGTAAATTGATACTCACAAATTCTATAATCAATAATTTTAAGTGAATAAACTAGACATATAAATATCAATGTAAATGAATTTCAAAATACAATGTATACATAATTTAAAAAGTATAATACATCATCATACAATTTACATTAATTGGGGAAAGTAAGGGACTTTGAACTCACAGTCTCAAACTTGCTGTGCTCTACCACTTGAGACATGCCCTTATTATTGAGACAGGATCTTGAAAATGCTCCAAGACCAGACTCAGACCGTGATCTTCCTATGTCTGCTTCCCATGTAATTGAGATTACAGGTATAAACCAATATAACTAGCAAATTTAGAAGAATTCTTTAGAATCAATTACAAATACAGTATAATGTTTGCATATAAAACATACTTTTTATTTTTATATTAAAGAGACTACATCAAAGGTAAGACATTATTACTTGCGATGAAAGGTACAACAGAAAGGACATTATTATTAGTTATATCATTAATACTATACAGGAGCAGTTTGGTTAAAATTAAGCTCTGAATGACCTTTTCATGCTTTATTTCAACTGTGTCATAATTACTCTTCCTAATTTTAATACTATCAAAATAATGATATCTATGATGATGTCAAAAGTCACCTCAGAATAAAATTGTCATATGTATTTCCTGATAGTGGAAAATGGCACTATAAATAGATATGTATGCACAGAAATATGAACATACATGTATGTGACTGACTACAATTGATAAATATGAAATGATGTTTTAGACATAAGACTGAGTCTAGTTCCCTACAAGTCTAAAGCACATACAATTTGAAATTTGATTCCACTCTCATGCTCATGCTGATATCAGTAGGCTGTACCTTCTTGGACAAATCACTCAACACTCTGTCTCATTATCATTATCTATAAAACAAAGACCCTAAAAGCACCTTCAGTTATTTAGTGGACTAAGCATGACAAGTGACCTCAGATTATGTTTAATAAATGTTAAGTATTCTATTATGGCACAAAAAAGATCTGTTTATTACTAAAAATTTTACATTGAATTACCTTATTTATATCTACCCTGGTTAAATTTTACTTAGTAGGTTTAATTAATTTGAATGCTATATTTAAACTTCTTTCATTCTTATAACAAATTACTTGTGATCATCTAGAAAAGGAAGCACCATGTAGACAAATTTAAGTAAAAATCAACTATTTTGCCCATAGTCACATATAATGACTCAACAATGACTCTTCTTTAATATGGGTCTTTGTAAAATCTTCTCTTATAATAGTTTGTCAACAAATACCTTTCTAATCCATTCAGAATTTAATATTTATACTCTTTTTTTCCTTCTATCCTTTTTATCTTTTAAAGTTCAGTTTCTCATGAGAAATGACAACCATAATTTATTACTCTAAGGACTTATAGTGCTAATTATAGAGGTCATTAAAGCAGAGTTACTAGTGACTGTCAGCGTCCGGGCAGTGTCTTCCTTTTTCTTTCCTTTTATTTTCTAGAAAGACTGAAATTGGAATTGTTTCCTTTTAAGACAAATGTGCTTTTGAATTGCCAGTGATGAAAGAGGTATGCAGATGTCAAAAGCATTGTAGCACAGTGGGATTATGTGCTAAATTCCAGGTCAGGACAGAAAAACAAGCAAAGTCTGAAATCGGTTAAACGGTACCTTAAAAAAAAACTCAGATGACCATCCTGTTTTATCTTTGCCAATGTGTATCAAATGTTCAAACAAAGTTTTGTTATGCTAACTACTTATATTTCTCGTATTTCTTATTTTAAACATTTGTAAAAATAAAGGAATTTCAGCTAGATGGTTTGGGAATTGTTTAAAGGCAAGCCAATTTAAAATAAAACAACACATGCCATACACATGCCTTTCTTTCTATTAAAGCAAACAAAATTGGGCTTTAAATAAAAAGCTTAATTATAGTACGTGGCAAAAATATGCTTAAATATTCTCCTTTGGGCATAGCAGTAATGATCTGTTTCATATTGTAACTCATTGATACACAGGAAAGCAAAAAGTTCATAATTCTATACTAATTTTCAAACTGCTTTAAGAGGAAAATAAGTTCTATGCAATTAAAACATCATGAGGTGCGTAACCACCATTTTGAGTAGCAGAAGAATAATTTATAAGCATTCCACTTATTTTTTATTTACTTTTTATTTAAATTTTCCATCATCACAGCTTTAGGTGTGTTTACAATAAACTGTGATTTCTTTTGGTAATAGTAATAGCTTGAGAGTTTATAGTTTAGAGCAGAGATTGCCAAGTGACAGCCTATGGGCTGGATTCAGAACCCAGATGGTTCTCTCTTTGTTTGGCTGGTTTCTTTTGTTTTCTCTGCACAGTATTGATTATTTTTAGCAAGTTATCTATGAACATTTACAAATTGGAGAATTCCATATAAAATTCAACATTCTCAGAGTTCCTTAAAATGTAAGACAACACTGAACCTAAATTCCAACATAGGAGCAATGTACCGTGTGTGTACACATTCTAGTTAACCATAGTCCTTACTAGTTCCTGTTACCAGACATGCTTCCAAAGACATTAGTGTTTGCAAACCTGGTTTCTGTGTAATTTATATGAGTAACTTAATGCATATACTTAAAAAAACTGTCCATTGTTTTTCTCATATTTCATTAAACATAAGTTCTATGTATATATTTAATGTGTGTTTTGATAACCCAGAAATGGATCTATTATAGCTATAATCTGCTGTTCCATTTTAATTAGAGAGGAGCTGGCATAGATTTGCATGTCATTTTACATGAAAAATAAAATTAAAAGCCAAGTTCAGACCTGAATCCAATGGCATTCATACAAAATCAGAAATACAATATCCAAACCTAAACCCAAACCCCAATCCATCATTTTCAGTTCAAATCATTCCCTGATAAAGTCTACTCAGCTCTAGTCTCCCCAGCATTGATATCACAGTTACATACAAAGTTTGGCCCTTAAGGAGGTACATCCACTACTTCAGGTTGCTCAGGTATTATTTAGTGTGCATGACATTGAAATCAATGTCTAGTTTTAAGAGAGAAAATGTCCCAGATAATAGAAACACTATGATTTCCATTTTCTATATTGAAAATGCAAGCTAAATCACATAGCATAGTCTCTATCTTACTTAAAGTCTTATGGAACTTTTCTTGTAGAAAAATATAGACAGAACCAGCATTAAGGGCAAAAACCTTACTCAGAAGTGATTTAACATAAGAAAGCTATGTGGGGATGATTAAAGGGTACACTAGTTCCAGGCAATAGGAAAACATACTTAGGAACCCAGGCTTCTTCCCCGTTGTTTTGGAGTGAACTATTCACTGTTTCCCCATTACAAACTGACAGGTAGGAAGTCCAAAGTAAGGTGAAATCTCAAGACTGCAACTGATCTGACATTTCCATAGATGTTTAGGATGTTTCAAATGTAAACCATGATGTCCATATATTTTTTAAATATGAGGAAGCAAAGAAATTTCAAAATATTTTAGATCTACTTACTTGCCTACAAAATGCTCCTGTGCCTGAGGATTAGACCAACTTGGATTAGTAACTCTAGTTTCTTCCATTTGTTGCTATAGCACACTTAATAGCCTGTGCAGCCTGCAAAAGTGAATGTACCTTCCTAAGCATCCACACCAAGGGGTGGGAGGCCATCTCAATTATCTTCCCATAATTTTACATGACATAAGTGTCATGGTTTTTATGCCAATGATTCTCAATCAACCCCCATCAATTTACACTCTTTTTTCTAACTTCTACTTTACTAAACCAGAAAGCAGTTGTTCCCTGTGGCTATGAGTCATCTCCCCACTCTATTACCCTGGCAACAATTCCAAAGTAATGGAAACAACCAATAGTTAAAACAGTGAAACTATAGAGTACCCAGTACACTACAACCCTCAAATAGAAGAACTAGTACTAATTACGTTTTAATTTCATTTTGTTTATTATCATTAACAAAAGATTAAGCAAGATGGCACATTTTCTGCTAAAACATGTAAATGGCTCCCCTTTCTTACAACAGCAAATATATTCTAGGGAGGAAAATTGTGGAAGTTGGGCAGAATCTGTACAGGTTCCAGGACATTCCCAGAAAGTTGATTTTTAAAAAATAAATACATAAATACCTGTTAACAGCTTGTTTTCTTGTCATTTGCCTCTTCCTTCTAAAAGGAGAGTGTAGCAAAAAATAAATAAAACTGGTTAATTGAGAGTTTTGGTTAGTGAACTTCCAATTAATCGTCTTTATTTTATTTCACAAAAAAAGCTTCTTAAATACTGCAGAAATTTTAGATAGATAACACACAATGAAATACCAGCAGGGAAGAGACAAAGAAGATAGCAAAGCCTGAATTCCTATCAGATAGTGTTTTAATGTATGGATACTGTTATATTTCCGGCCTAATCCCCATTCAGTAAGGAATAATGTGAAATGTCATGTGATTTAAGGCTTTTCTCTAAATGAAAGCAAGGAAATAGGTTATAGATTTCTGTTGAACAAAATGGCCTCGGGTCGTAACAATTCCCCCAAAAAACGATTCAACAATATTGTCTTTTCCTTTTCTCTCAGGGGCCTTTCTTCCCATTCCATTGGGTATTCCAATACCTTGGAGGGGGATAAAACTTCTCATTTTTTCTCATTTTTCATTTGACTAATTTCCCAAACAGAGAGCCATTAATCATACAGCTCCTTATTTATATCTAGAACAATACTGAACTATCCTATATCTTCCCCATAAGGGTTACACATTCACACACACACACACACACACACACACACACACACACACACACACACACACACACACACACACCCAGAATTATACACACAAAAATTTCAACACATATGAAAGAGATCAATCAAAACCCACAAAATCAGCTTGTTCAATAAAACAACCATTCTTTCCAGTTGTGTAGTCAATACAGTGTTCTCAGAGTAACAAAATGTAAACTGAGTGTTTAAAAAATTAGAACTAGCCAGGTGTCTATAGCACCACCTAAATCTTAGCTGTTCAGGGGGCTGAGATTTGAAGATTGTGGTTCAAAGCCAAGCGGGTCAGAAAAGTTTGTGAGACGCTTATCTCCAATAAACTACCACTAAAATCCAGAATTGGAGCTCTGTACACGTGGAAAAGCACTAGGCTTGATCAATAGAAGCTTGGGGACAGCCTCCAGGCCCTTGTTCAAGCACAAGGATCAGCATGCACACTATATATATGAACTATAATGTGGCTTTTTGAGTCTTGATACATTTCTAAATATAAATAAAATAACAATGTTCTATAACTCTCACTGAAAATATACATATATTTTCTTACAATGACTTTTTTGTTATGATTCATGTTTGTTTATTATTTTTTATTTTTGTTTGGTTTTGAAGCACAACCACCTCCCTGCTTCAAAGGTCTAGAGAAAGGACTCTAAATAAATAACAAATTCAAACATATCTTAGGGGTGTTGGGAAAAGAAAGTAGGAGGAAAAGTGACCCATTTTTAACAGTTTTTAGCTCTGTTACTGTCAGAAATATTTGATTTGGGCATACATATGACTCATTCAGTCTCTTTGAATGAGTATATTATACTCATAAATGCCAAATAAACGTTTCCTATGATACAGGCTCCATAGACTACCTGAACTTACATTGTGAAATTACTGACTTCTGAAATATTGTGATTAATACTCTGATAAATATATAAAAGCCCATGATTTAACTGTCTTTTCATTAAAGACTTAAAAAGTTCTTAGAAAATTAAGAGCTTACAATAATATTTGACATGCTCTCATTTGTCTAATATCAAAAACAAATTTTATTCTGCATTCAAGCTATAGTTCTAGGGCTTTGGGTCTACAAGTTAAATACACATATAGTAACTGTGCAGGATTTTATCCAGTCCCCTATACCAAAATCTGTACATATATAATTTCTTACATAAACTAGCATAGAATTTGCAAATATGTACGTTTTCCAAATATGTACATCTCCAAATTACTTACAATACCCAATGCAATATAAATGCTTTGTAAGTATGGCTATAATGTATTATTTAGGAAATATTGATAAAAGTCTGTAGAGTGTCTGCAGACACTATTTTTCCCAAATGTTTTCAACTCACAGCTAGGATAGGAAAAATAAAATTTGATATGTATATTCTAAATTTGTTCTTTAGTGATGTCAACTGATTTATTATAGGTTTCTTTCTTTGCCAAATAATCAACATTTTTGGAATTTTTTGATCAAGCTTCACAAGATGCTACTAGCAACTCAGCTCAATATATAATAATACAATGTGAAAAAAGTTATGGATTCTGTGGAACTGTCCAAGAATATTTCATACATACTCAGATTTTTCTTTGTCTACTAAAGCTCCAATTTAGTGTCCCACACCATTCTCAAGTCTGGGTGTGAAACTATAGTCATAAGCAAGGTTCCTGAAATTCTTCATGACTAAAATAAACTCATAACAGTATTCATACAAAAATCAGTGGCAGAAATATTTTGATCCAGTAATTTAAACACTGAATCAGATAGTATAGCAACATATGCTACTGACAATAGAGCTATTATCAGCCAAGTTCCTGTGAGATATGGCTGTAATAGGGGCTCTCTCAACCCTTTACCACCTTCAACCATCATCACTATTAGAACACTGATTAAAGTTACTGTAGAGTTCTTTCTCTATGCAAATTTTATGACTAGACAGTGATTCCAATGTGCTCCAAAACCTAAGAAAAGGATGTGTTTTGATTTAGTCAAGATCAATTTTACTCTGTACCACTGATAAGTTTTCATACTTTGATTCTACCAACTTTTGGTGTGTCAGTGCAGAGTTCGAAAAATTAATGATAGTGACTGCTACTCAATGTGCTCACCTGGAGTTAATTTTATATAAGATTCAGATACAGATTCTCACTTTTGAAATCTAATACACTACAGAATTACATACAGTAATATAACAAAACATCATATGAAATGCATAGGACAGGATTAAATGCCACAATGTATATTCCACTTCAAAATTCATGCAAACTGTTTGAAGACAAATTGAAATTTTGCTATCCAACACAACACAGTAAGTTAATATTCAAATTCTACTGACTCCTGAAGAAGAGGGAGGTGGCAAAGTTCCAAGCACGTGCTCAAGGAGAGAGAAAGGTAGTTGAGACAAAGTGTGACAAGAACTTTAAACCTCTGAGGGATGAATCACACCAGCGTCAAGGCAAAGGTGTTTCTTTTTTATTTTGTAATTTTATTTCATTGTAAAGATGCTGCACAGAGGGGTTACAGTTACATAAACAAGGCAATGAGTACATTTCTTGTTGAGCATTTATTACCCCTTCCCTTGTTGTTCTTCCACTATCCCTTCTTTCCCCCACCTCCCTCACTCCTTGCCCCACCCCACCCCCAGAAGTTATAAAATTAATTTCCAGTATACTGTCTTGTGGGTGGGTATCAGTGTTGCAATGGGTCATCCTGTGTCCTTGTTTCAGCATTTTGTTATTCCCCTCAGTAGATGAATGGATCAAGATAATGTGATATATATGTATATGTGTGTGTGTGTGTGTGTGTGTGTGTGTGTGTGTGTGTGTGTGTGTGTGTGTATAAGAATTCTATGATTCCATCAGAAAGAATGACACCAAAGAAATATAGGTCCCATGGTTTCCCTCATTTTCAATAATTAGTATATGTCTAGGATGATTTCATCAGATGAGTAGAAAAGCTCAAAAGCTATGTACATATGACCATATAAGATGATGCTAAATGAAATAAACCCCAAGATAAGGGCACAATAGGTCTTTCTTTGTTGTTGTTTCTAATGCACTATGTGATTATGTGATTATTTTGTTTCCTTTGTATGCTCTTTTCCCTATGGTATATCCCCTGTTGTTACTGTATTTGATTTTGGTACCCTGCATCTTGTATATACATTTGTGGAATTTGGGGAGGGGCAAGGCTGTTTCTTATCAGGAGTTTACAAACAAGCTTCCCTGTGTCCAGGGTCTCAGGGCCTCTCTCAGTGATCAATGCTGTGGTTCAAAGGTAGCCTTCCCAGCCTGTGGAAGATTACAGTTGTAGTACTAGTGATTCATCTACATACATATAAGGTATGTGACATTTTCTGAAGAAAACATAAAAGTTTGGGGGGAAGGAAGTCGACACCTAATTCATAGCTATTATTCCTATTATTCCTAAATATGTTACCAGGCTTCCTTGATTGGTTATTGGGGAATCCATTTTTGAACTTTCCTTCCACAGGCTATCATATCAGCTTTATCCTCATGAGGACATAAAGGTGAATAGAAATTGCATATGTATTTAACAAGAAACAAGATTTGTAGCTCCTTTGATCTCTAGGCCAGTGTTCTTTCTTCACTATACTGCTTTTAAAATAGAACCTGCCAACCTGAAAAACCAATCCTGCCTAATATATCTTGTTAATGCTACTCAGAGCTTTGAAAATCTAGACATTTTGCAGAAAATTTGAATTATAAAATTCTCTTTTTAAAATTAGAAAAGAAATACCTGATAATAGTAATTCTATATACATCCATACTCTGTATACTATATGGAATAAATAGGCAAACATTCACTGTAGTGTCCCCCACAATTCCTACAATTCCCATGACCGAATTCACGGCATCTCTCTTGACCAAATTGAAATTTTTATGGCCACTATTTTTCAAGTTTTGAAGTATAATTAAACCAAACTTTAATTCGTTTCTTATAGCTGAATTAACCACGTATATGAAGAACTCAATGTCAAATACCAAGTCTGAACTGATGGGTTAGATGGATATTTCCTGCCTAACACTTAATACAATGTGTAATTACTTTTAGGTCTATCTTCCCTATGAAAAAGGAATCTTCATGAAACAACAAGTTAGATTTTTTTGTTTACTCTTACTTTTACATGTTACAGTACACTGATCTTAACATTTAACAGTCATCAATCTGTATTTTCCAAATCAAGTAAATATTAAGTCTTGTAAAGAGACACTATAAACTTAGATATGATCATCCTTGTAGCATCTTCAAGCTTCTTTTCATAAAGCAGCTTTTATAAATCTATAGCTACAATGTAGCACTGACTTAATGACCATGGAACATGGTTTAAATGACAGAATTGATGTTTTAGATTTTGAATACATATTTACTAATTATCAGAA